TCACGTGACATATTGTGACTTCTTCCTCCTTTTCTAAACCAGAGATCGGTGTCGCCAGCACATGACGCATACAGCGCACAGGCCACGAGTTTGACACCCCTGAGCTACTGTGAAGCTGATTAATCACAGTATTTGAGTTCATACTATGGACTAATTCGGAATTCTCTCAGAAGATACAATTCAAAGAAAGAAATCAACATGTTCATGCTTACCTAATATGACCCTGTGCACCAGGGGATCTGTAATCCTGAGTACTTTTGTTTCAGAAAAAGGAAGCCAGATATCCATGAGGTCTGAGGGCAAGGTGGTTAGTTTGTTACTAGATATATCTAAGTAAGTGAGATTTCTCAGGTATCTGCCGGCCTCAACTGGAATACTGGTCATTTTGTTATTGTGTAAATCCAGAGTTCGTAGATTGGACATTTCAGCCAATGACTGCCAAGGGAAACGCAACAACAAATTGCCATCCAGACGCAATTCATGTAGCTGCTTTAAGTTATAAAAGCTTCTGCTATCAATGTTGGTGATAGAATTGTAAGTAAGCCATAGATATTTGAGGTCCACCAGGTAATAAAAAGCATCAGCTGGAATTTTTCTTATGACTGTCTTTTCTACCCGGAGTTTTACAGAGTCCACGGGAATATTCATAGGGATTTCAAACATATCCGGATCATTACAAAGCACAGTTCTAATAAAAAACAAAAACCAAAGAGAAGTGGCTACGGTCATATAGGTTTTCACAATGTATTTTAAAAAATAAACTGCGGTCCCACTAACAAATCAATCCAGCTGTGTTCACTAGAATTAGAAGAACTTTATTGTCATTGTACAAGTACAACAGAACTGTGGATGCACCCCAGCAACTGTTCTCAATACAATAAAACCAAAGCACTTAAAAATGAAGATAAGAAAGATAGAGTACCCATGTCTCCATTTGCAATTTGAGAGTACAATATCTACAAATATACACAAAATATACATCCAACATTGACTGTAAGGCTTAGCCGAGTATAATACACAAGAGATGGATCGTACTTTAATCTGTTATTATACATCTAAATGGGGTATTTAGATTTCACATCTTTTCACATCTTAATGAGGTAGTGACTTCGTGTTTATTTGCAGTTCAGATGGCCCAGGGAAAGAAATTATTTGTTAGTCTAGTGGTGTGGGATTTTATTGACATAAAACGCCGTCCAGATGCCAGCAGGTCAAACAGATAATTGCCAGGGTGTGAGGGGTCTTCTATGATGGCCTTGATTCTGCTTTGGCAGCGGGACCTGGCTAAGTCTTCCAGGGAGGGCAGAGGGCAACCAATGATCTTTTGAACTGTGTTTATCACCCTCTGTACAGTTTTCCTCTCCTCAACTGTGGAGCCTGTATACCACACATCCAGACAGTATGTCAGAGTGCTCTCCACAGTGGCTTTATAGAAAGCCAGCAACAGCTTCTTATCCAGATTGTTCTTCCTGAGAACCCACAGGAAGTGCTGCCGCTGCTGAGCCTTCTTCACTATGGCCTTGGTGTTAGGGGACCAGGAGATGTCAGCTGAAATATGGATGCCAAGGAATCTGATTGTAGGGACAATTTCCACTCGTTTTCCATTGATGATGAGTGGGGTGTGGTCCCATCATGTCTCCTGAACTCCATAATCAGTTCTTTGGTTTTATGGACATTCAGTGACAGATTGTTCTGTGAACGCCAGATAGACAGGTTCTCTACTTCTGCCCTATATGCCGTCTCATCCTCTCTGGAGATTAGACCAATCACGGTCATATCGTCCAGAAACTTTATGATGGTGTTTGTTGCGTGGCTTGGTGAGCAGTCAAAGGTGTACAAGGCATATAGCAGGGGGCTCAAGACACAACCTTGGGGGGAACCAGTACTGAGTGTAATAGTGGAAGAAAGGTGGGGGCCAAGTCTAACAGACTGTGGTCTGTTTGTCAAAAAGTTCTTAATCCAGGAACACATGGGGGTGGGGACCTGCAGATTATACAGTTTGGTTACTAGTATATCTGGGATGATAGTGTTAAATGCAGAGCTGTAGTCCACAAAGAGCATCCTCACATAGCTCTGTTTGTTCTCCAGATGACTCAGTGCTCTATGAAGTGTGATGGCCACAGCATGCTCTGTAGATCGGTTTGCTCTATAAGCAAACTGATGTTGATCAAAGGAGGGCGGGAGGCAGTCTCTGATGTGTTGTGAAACTAGTCGCTCAAAAACCTTCATAATGGAGCTTGTTAATGCTATGGGCCTATAATCATTGAGAGTGTTTATATTTGTTATTTTGGGAACGGAGATGATGGTTTCAGCCTTCAGGCATTGTGGGAAGATGCCATGTGTTAAAGATAGATTGAACAGCTCTGTAAGCATTTCTGCCAACTGGTCAGCACACACTTTAATTACTGCACCAGGAATGCCATCAGGCCCAGCAGCTTTCCTGGGATTTACTGCTCTCAGTATTTTTCTCACCTCATGCACCTGAAGAGAAAGAGGTGCAGCGTTGTGGTCCTCATGAGGCAGTATGTCCAGGTTCTTGGTGGTCTCAAAGCGTCGAAAAAGCTGTTTAGCTGTTTAGCTCCTCTGCCAGAGTGCTACTGCTCTCGCTGTTTGTTGGGCCCTGGCCTTTATAGTTGGTCAGGGCCTTTATCCCCCTCCACATCTGCCATGGGCCACTGTCAGTAAAGTGGCCCTCAACCTTCCTCCTATACATCTCCTTAGCATGTTTGATGCCCCTTCTCATCTCAGCTCTGGCAGTGCTGTACTGTGAGGTGTCACCTGCTCTGAAAGCCAAGTCACGGGCCCTGATCAGAGTCTGGACTTCGCTGGTCATCCAGGGTTTCCTGTTTGGGAAGGCTCTTTTGGATAAACCTTCTTTCAAATAGAGTAGAGTAGAGTAGAGTAGAGTAGAGTAGAGTAGAGTAGAATAGAATAGAATAGAATAGAATAGAATAGAATAGAATAGAATA